AGATGGAGTGGGGAAAGGCTGGACCTTTGTTTAGGGGCAAACTTGAACCTAAAGAACACCTGCATTGTGTCCCAGCAGGATCCAACTAGACTGACACAACCTCCGGCCCATGGTTTAGACCAGGGGTCCTCACACTACGGCCCGCAGGCCACATGCGGCCCACCGGAAACATTTATCCAGCCCGCCGGGTGTTTTTGCCGCCGCTGTGTGCATAGGAATTTGTTCGTAGGTTTTTTTTAAAACTATAGTCCGGCCCTCCAACGGTCTGAGGGACAGTGAACTGGCCCCCTGTTTAAAAAGTTTGAGGACCCCTGGTTTAGACCTTCACTTCTCTGAAGGCAGAAGATCTTCAGGTCATTTCCATATCGAGGTTTTCATCAGCTGCGGTCCAACCTTAAAGGAAAGAAGCAGTGGTGCAGGGCTGCCAGGGACGGTTGGGCAGGTCATCCCCAACTCCATTCAGATAGACCCTCCGTGGAAATGATGTGCTCTGAGGGTTGGGCCACGCTCCACCTGTACAACTGCAGGTGGCAGCTTTGGAAGGGAACTCATGGGGTGAAGGAAAGATTGGAGAGCCGTAATTATAATAAAGGGACAATATTGGCGATCTAGGTGGAAGGAACTAAAATAAGTTTAGTTGAAGACTAGACTCATGTGTACTAGCAGCTGCAGTCTATTTCTCCACTCAGGACTCTGCCTCTGGGACAGAGCAAAGAGATGGAGATGGAGATGGAAATGAGATGGTGATAGAGATGGAGATGGAGATTAAATGGTGATAGAGATGAGAAGGAGATGGTGATGGAGATGGAGATGAGATGGTGATAGAGATGGAGATGGAGATTAAATGGTGATAGAGATGAGAAGGAGATGGAGATGGTGATGGAGATGAGATGGTGATGTAGAGATAGATGGATGGATGGATAGATAGATGATAGATAGATAGATAGATAGATAGATAGATAGATAGATAGATAGAGATGGATAGAGAGAGAGAGAGAGAGAGAGAGAGAGAGAGAGAGAGAGAGAGAGAGAGACTATAACCCTCTCTTATATCAAGCATTCCTACCCTCTTGTCTAAGGGGAAGAGCTCTTGGAGTAACAGCTTTCCTCTCTTAGTTTAGGTTTTCCTCAAAGCAGACCCTAAAACAGGGGTCTGGATGCAGCGTTTTATTTGGGTGAGCGGGTAAGAAATGAGATGAGGACGGGAAGCAGGCAGTGAAGGGTGTGGTAGTGACAGGTCACCTCTGTGAGCAGCTGAGTAATAAGAGCGCTTGCCCAGATAGCTGCTTTGTGAGACTCCACGAGCCCCTCTAGGAATCTGTGTAAAACCTACTCAAACTTGTCCCACCCAGGCAACAGGAACCAGGGGTATTTACAAACCAGCCTCTGTCCCTCCTGTTTCATTCTCTGGCCAGCACACCCCTGAGGCCAGAGAAGGACTTCAGGCGGAGGGACACAAAAGCTGAAGTGGGAAGTCGCTGTAAGTGACCTGGAGGATGGGCCCAGGAGACAGGGCTGGGCATTCACAGTGTCTGCTGTGGTCCACCAAGACCACACACGACGCGGGAGAGAAGGAAAAAGAGAAGAAATAATGATAATGAAAGTAATAACAATAATAATTAATACTAATTCACCCTTTTATTAACTAACAGCTAGCAAGCATTCCTTCTCACCAGACAATGGGCTGAGTGCTTTATACTCATCGTCTCATGGAGCCTCACAGAGCAGCTCTCAGGGGCAAGTGCTCCTACTACCCTCATTTTGATGACTCAGTGGAGGGTTAAAGAAGTTGAGTGACTTACCCATGGTCACAGAAGCAGCAAATGGCAAAGTGAATCGTATAAACCAGGCCAGTTAGAGAGCAAAGATGAGATTCTTACAATTGCCTGGCTCAGCGCGTGTGTGTGTGTGTGTGTGTGTGTGTGTGTGTGTGTGTGTGTGTGTTGTGGTTAACGAGAATAATGGTTCACCCCAGGACTATCGCCTAACCCCGCCCCCTCCCCCCGCCCCCCGTGGAAACAGAGCAGCATCAGGCATCTCCTGAGGTTGAGGTGGAACATTCGTCCTCAGTACTCAGCTGACTGGTCCTGGTACCCAGCTCTGTCACTGACCAGGCTGCTGTCACCCCTAATGACGGCCATCCCTTCATCCTCAAAGTAGAACAGGTATCCGCCTTCCTCAGAGACCCCATTTGATCAATAACCAAAAAATGAACTAGAGTTTGTCTTACTACTTCTATTCCTAATCGCAAGGATAATTCACCTTCATCATCACACAAAAAAATGAGATTACCCAATAAAACAAAGAAACTTAAAAACTTACAGTCCCACCGCCGCTATTATTATTGGTTGTACATTCTAACTGGGTGCTCCCCCCAGAAGAGTGAAGAATGCAGGTGCATTTAATATAAGTGAGAAGCTACTTGTAACTGGCTTCTTTACTTACAATGTATCTTTAGTATCTTCTTATATCTCTTCACAAATGGATTTTCAATAGCCATGTGGTATGCCACCGTACAGGCGTACGCTGATCTATTTAACCAACCCCATATTAATTAGATACTAAAGCTGTCCCCAGTTTTTATGATTAAAAAACCTTGAGGAACTTCTCGGAAAAGAAATACTGTGGACAGTCCTGATTATTTCCATAGGACCAATTCTCCAACGTGCAATTATCAAATTAAATGATTGGCACAATTTTAAGGCTTTTCATATATTTTGCCAAGTTCTCCTCCCAAAAGGCTTATCTATTTTTATTCCAACCAGCAGTCTACAAGATATCCTACTTCCTCCTTAGCAATCGGTATCATTGTTTTTAATATATACATTTGCTAAGCCAGTGAATAAAAACTATGTTTAACTTGCATTCCATCGATGCAAGTCTTTCAAGCATTTACTGAGCATCTACTGTGTTAAGTTACTTAACCGGACATTTCCACACATATTATGTCCCTTAACCCCCTCAACAGTCCTTTGAAGCTGGTGGAATATTGCCTTTTAGTGAATGAGGAAGCTAAGGCTTGAATGAGCATAGGTTGCATGCTGAGCTGTGCAACACACCAGCTGTGTGATCTTGGGGTGTCCTCACCTCTCTGAGCTCAAGAAGACTAATAACCTGAATCTCTGGAAGTTCTGGTGACCCTACTGCCCCATCACTTAGAGTGCCACACTCTAGTGCTCTGTGGGGACACAAAGGCCATTGACCTAGTTTCTCCATTTACTTGGAAAAAAGCCGAACTGTCAATTCTTTATAATAAATTCACACTTCTTGGGGATTCTTCCACTCAGAAAAGTCCCAGGGGATCTGATTCAATGAATAATTTGTAATCAACATGCCAGTTATTCCTGTTTTAAGGGGATGTGACATTCTTGATCATTGGGATTTTTAAAAAAATTTGCATAACTAATTTACTCACCAATTCGCTGCTCTGTTCTGCCCCATATGTGTTACATAGGACCAACTCACTAATCCTAAATTTGTGGGTTTTAAGTAAATATCCATTGATGGTCCATAAAGTTGCGTGCTTTGGGACCTCCCAAATACTTGATTCCGGAAATTAATTCAAAGAAAGAGACCCTTCAGAAGACCAGGTCTGGGTGTTACCTATAGCATGCCCGGTTCATTCCTTGGTCAGTTGGAATTCCTGGCGGTTTTCCTTTTGCAATGCTGACACACATTCAGCGAAGTTAAATGCCTCCCCTCCAGGGCTGCAGGCCAGTGGATAGACATATTCGGCTCTATCACACTCAAGCACAAGGGTTCTAAATAGTGTGAAATGAGCAAGAGAGAGCAGATGGGGCCAAAAAGCCACTGTAAGACCACTCCTTCCTTCCTCTACCTCGTTCCCTTCTATCCCGTCAGTAGAAAGAACAGAAAAAAAAATGGGTGTTCAAGTCCCTTGTACTTTTTTAAGCACATGGTATTTATTAGGCATTAATTGGCACACAAATATACGAAACGAGTACTTAATTCTCCCCCTCCCCCCCTTAGCAACATAAAAGGACAAAATCGCTTGAAGACACTCACGTACAAACATACTCACACACTCGCACGGACTTGGACATACTCAGCCTCGCATATTACCCTGTTCTTTTTATTAGGGTCAGTTAAAAAAAAAAAAAGAATTTTTTTTAATCAAGAAAGCAAAGCACTTTCGAAAGAGGGAAAAAAAAAGAATGCAAACTTGGTTTTTGAGTATCAATAAAATTAAAAGCTCTTGACCAGCTCCCATGCTGGATTTCATGTTATTACTTAATTAGAACTCCTATTTATAAATAAATAGTACCAGTAAAATATTACATCTGAAGAACCCTGCAATAACGTTTTACTTACACACTTTTTTTAACACTGTTTTCTGCTTTCCGTAACCACAGTTTGGTGTCGGCATTGGGTGTGATTCCCTCGGAGAGCATGATGGATGAGCACGGTTTGCCTCCTCTTTAGACGTTGTGGCTTTGGCTTTGGCATCCCGTTGGACCGTCGGGAGATTTGCAGGCTGGGCGCTGGCTTTGTTTTGTAGCAGGATGAATATTGACTTTGGCTTTTTCACCACTCTTGTCAGCACGGAGCTTGCCCTTTGCTTATCACAGTTCTGCCCGCGTGTAACCCAGGGCTCTTTAAGTTTTTCAAAGCAAGCTTTCCGGCTGGGAAGCTATAGGCCATGTTTTAGCGACAGATGGCTGGGAAGACCCGGAGCTGGGAAGACGGGAGCGCTGAGTCAGATATGATGCCAGGTGGAGCCCAAGGTTATCCTGACTCCCCAGGGAGGCAGACTGGGCTCCGTGGTGACGGGGAAGGCAGGACACAATCAGAAAAAGCTGGGGACATAGGGGACCTTTTCAAAAACATCCCATGGCAGAGGTAGGTCATTTCTCAGTCAAGGGGAGGGTGACGAATTTTGGTTTTAGGGGTGGCTTAGAGGAAGGGAACTCCACAAATACATACTTTGAACTTGCCTCAGACCTCCCCCAAAATAAGGGACAGGGTCCCGTTAAGAAAAATTGAAAGAAAAAAATATATTATTATTTATTATATAACAATGTCAACATTAACAGCAAGACAGGAAAAGACTCCAACTGCATTAGGATAACACACTCGATGAGGCAAGACTTGCTGGAGACCAAAAGAAGGAATCCGGGAGGCCCTCCGGAGGTGGTGTGAATGTGGCCCATGGATGACTGTGGTGGTTGTGGTGGGAATGGGACTCAATTTTGTTGTTCTTTTTTTTTTTTTTTTTTTTTTTTTTTTTTTTAGTTTTGAGACGAAATGACAAAGTCACATTTTTTGAACTGTGGTTTCAGGCTACTGATTAGATCAGTGTCTGGGGGTCTCAAGTGCAGGCGTGAATCTGGGGTGAAATGAAATACCTTGTCTGTGGGGTTCTCTCGGCTACTGTCTCTCTCCTGCTCTCTCTCTCTCTCTTTCTCTCTCTCCTCTCTCTCTAGCAAATGTCTGTTAAGGAAGCAGGCTTCGCTTTAGCTATTCTCGCTCCACTCTGGCACCATGCCAACCCCATGCACCGAGTGGTACTGGTGTGGGGACAGGGTCCTTGGCACGCCATGGGAGTAGAGGAACTCAGATGGTTGCAGGCCGCCAGGGGACTGCAGGCCAGTCTGAGGCCCACACTGCCTGACCACAGGCTGGTGGGCCACGGAGGTCTGGTGCTGGAACATCCCCTCCCCGAGCTGGGGGGAGCCGTGGTTGGCGATGCCAGCCAGCCGGGGGACCAGAGGCCCCGAGGTGAAGTGAGCCGAGAAGTGTTGGTAGGGTAGCCTGTCCATGGGCTGCACGGTGGTGACCGTGCAGCTGCTGTAGGAAGGCATGCTGGGCCACGTGTTGCAGCTGATGTCCTCCAGGCTGGGCACAGGCTCGCTGGGCGGTGCGGAGCTGGCATACATGCAGGCCTGGCGCTGGGCTGACTCTGTCCTGTAGGAGGCACTCAGGCCCTGCTGCTGGGGGTAGCTGGGGCGATAGAATGGGTCTTCTTCGCTGGGCGATGTCTCCATGTAGGGCTTCTTGTAGGGATGGTCTGCGGTGGAGCATTCTTCATCTGCTAAGACAGGAGGAGAGAGACCCATGAGGCCAGGACCAGCCACCCCACAACTAAAGGCAGAGACAGCCATTTGGCTGAAGGCCTGAAGAATCAAGTCTCTTAAGACTGTAAGCCCAGGCCTCCATTCTGATACAAAGGGGTGGACTGTCACGGGGAGGACCTTGGGCTGCGGTGTTCTAAGCAAAGTCTGACCTTTCTGAACTCAGTTTCTTCGTCTGCAAACCATAAAGGTTACTAATGGCATTTTTCTACACAGGGAATTGTTGAGAATGAAATGGGAGAATGTGTATTAGTCCAGAACTTGGTACAAGGACACACTCAATAAGTAAGAATTATTGTTATTTATTATCTTCCCTCCCCGGCTTGTAAATTCCACGAAGGCAGGGCATTTCCAGCTCCAGTTCACACCTAGTAACAAAAATAATAATAAAGTCAACACTCACAGTAGAAACAGCACGTGGAGTGTTTTGGGTTCCCTCCATGAGATAACACATTTAATCTTCACGACAGCCCTACGAGATGGGTCCTCTCATATCCCCCTTCTCCAGAGGAGAGAAAGGAGACACCGAGAGGTTGGTCAACTTGCCAAGGGCTCATATGGCTGAGAAGCAGGGGAACTAGGATCAGAATCCAAGTAATCTACCTCCGAAATCTCTGCTAATACCATGCAGTACGGAGAAGGCACGCAATAAACATTTGTGCAATGGGTGGAAGGGGGATGGGCAAGTGGACAAATGGATGGGAGCGCAAATGAATTAATTTCCAAATCCTTTCCTGACGCCTTATGCAAGCAAGTGCCTAGTTAATATCTGCTGAGTCGGTACAAATTAACGTGTGACTGTTTTGCTGCTGATCAAACCACTTTGTTCACCTGTGTTCCCTAGTGTGGGAAGGGAGATAGTTCTGACCACTTCAAGGTCACGGACCCCTCTGGAAACTAACGAAAGTGCTGACCTCTCTCCTAGAAAAATACACAAACACAACGCTTGGAGGATGGAGTACACACACAACTTCCAGGGCCTCAAAGACTCCCTAACTCCAGGCTCCAAGCTAAGAAGTCTAGATGTGTCTGGGTTTGAATCTGGCTCTTCTATTTCATATCTGTGCCACGCCAGCATTTCAGAGACTAATTTTCACCATCTCTGAGTCAGAGTTAGGAATACTTACTGCACTGGATGGCGAAGAATTAAATGAGATGAGACATCTTCAAGGGCACCAGTCAATCCCGTGGCAGACCCCATCTATAACAACACACCTCTGGGTGCGCCCTTCAGGGGAAGCAAAACTGGGGAATTTCTCCCCAAGTGTAAACCTCAACTCAGATTCATCCTTTAGCTGGAATTCTACCCTCAAACTGGAGATTGTCCTTTTTTGTCTTCCAATTGCTTTCTAATCAATAAATGTTAAGAAATATTTCTGTATGGCCCTAACCGGTTTGGCTCAGTGGATAGAGCAGCCTGTGGACTGAAGGGTCCCAGGTTCAATTCCAGTCAAGGGTATGTACCTTGGTTGCGGGCACATCCCCAGTGGGGGGTGTACAGGAGGCAGCTGATCGATGTTTCTCTCTCATCAATGTTTCTAACTATCCCTCTCCCTTCCTCTCTGTAAAAAAATCAATTTATATATATATTTCTGTCTTTCAGGGGGTTGGTGAAGAAAAATGAAACACTGGGACTGGTGGATGACGTGAGGGCAGGACGCAGATTTAATGATGGGAGAAAATAGCTTTTACTGATTGAGCACCTTACTCTAATCTCAGAGTGATTCCTCCATGTGGCTCCTGCTTGGGGAAGTGACCCAGCCAAGGTCATGCAGCTGGGAAGGACAGAGGCTGGAATCAAAGCCAGGGCTGGCTGACTCTGTCTACCACACTCGCTTCTGGCTCTCTAGATTTCCAATATCCAACGCTACTCACCTAGTCAGTCAACAGGTGTACATGAGACCCTACCAAGTGCCAGGTGCTGTGCCAGCTGCTAGAGATAGAGTGGTCAACAGGTAGTCAGAGCCCTACTCTTGGTACACGTCCTTGGCCCCTGTCCATTCTCCCCTGAGCAGTAAGGACGGATGCTGACCTGTGATGAGGAGATGGTCCTCAGATAGGAAGCTCTAAGTCAGTCACTCGTCCCACTGCAAATCCTTTGACCTTGGTCTGCATTACAAAACAGCTCTCTGGCCAGGGTAGGGGAGCCTGGGTTCCACCCAACACCTCCATTTGCATCATTCTCCCAGTGACACCCATAGGTAAGTAAAAAATCTCCCAAACCAAACATAGCTAGGGCTGTACCCATTGAGCAGCCAGCAAATTTATGTTCAGCGACACTCCTTCTGGGACACTCTTCCAGGTGTCTGTCTACATCAAGCCAGATGTCGAAGACATCATAAGAGGGTGACCATACTGTCCACCTTTCAGCTGGGAGTTCTTTGGCGTCTTAAAGACATGGCCACACTCCACTTTTTTGTCCTGGTCACTTCCTCCCTCGATTTCTTCCCTCCATTCTTCCTTCCGCCCCCAGATCCATAATTCTGGATGTTTCCATTGTTGCTGGAATCAGAACCTTCGGGTTTTCCATTTAACCAGGGCGTTCCCCTTTTTAATAATAGCAAGTACAGCTGCAGGGTACCCTTGGCAAGAGGGGGGAAAAAAGGCAAACTAACCATTCCCAAGTTTCTGATCCGCTTCCAGGTTTGTTACAAGTCAAAAAAGGAAGAAGAATATGAAAAAGGCTGGAGCCCATTTTGGAAAATCGTAAAATTACACATTCCAGTCTCTAATACCCCAACGATCCGCTGCAGAGTCCGAAGAAGACTCGATACTGGCTCATTGATGAAAGCAGGTCCGAGCATTCTCAAATTCCTCTCGAACCTCACCGCATTGTAAAGACATTCCGAAGCAAGCGTCCAACTTCAGGTTGTGATAAATGCTTTGGATGTCATCTGTTTTTTTGTTTTGGTTTGGTTTCTGCCTTTTTACTGGGAACCACCATAAATGATCAACAGCAAAAGATCTCTCTCCCTGCCAAGGGATGAGGGGCCGTAGTCTCGGGTCAAGTCCCGTTTGAGATGAGTCCACAGCTTGGTTTCAGAAAGGTGTGTGGGAAGAGTGGTCCTGCACCCAGCCGAGTGCCCGGAGAGCAGTAAAGCTCTTCCGGATCCTGCCCACCGCTCAGGGCACAGCACCAGGACAAGCCTGGTCCCTTGCATTTTTCTGGACACTACTGATTCTGGAAAAAGTGGCTTTAATGATGAATCCAGAACACGGATTTTTAGGGCACAGAGTTATGTCTCTGGCTCTTGCTGGCTATGTGACCTTGGACGAACCACTGGGACCATTTGGATCTCAGTTCTTGACTGTCCATGACAATAATGCAGAAACTCCGTCAGGAATGGAGTTGTTAATAAGCAGTCTGTCTAGCTTTCCTGCACATAAAGGAAGTGTTTAAGTCTTATCTGGCTTTCCCCACTTGGAAGGTTGGGCAGACGGCTCGGTGAAGGTCATCCAATACCTGAAGGAATGTGGGTGGATCCCAGAGCTGGGAAACACTGGGCTGCGTTCACAGCACTAATCCCGTTGAGCCGATACTGCCACCATCCCACATGGGTCATTTCCCTTGGCGACAGTTCGCTCAGCCCGAGCCCCCAGAGGTAGAGTGGTGAGCAGCCCCTGCCGGGCTGAGTGACCTTCGGCAACTCTAAGGTGGGGCTGTATCCAGGCCTGACTCACCTAACAGTGCTCTTTCAGCTGGACAGCCCAGCCTTTCAGCTTTCATGAAACTCCTGTTCAGATGGATGGATGGGTGGAAGGGAGGGAAGGAGGGAGGGTGGTGGGTGAGTGGGTGGACGGATGGGTGGACTTTAGATCTTGGCTTACAGTAGAAAGGACTGGAATGCTGTTGTGGGACTACCCTTGATTAGGAATCAAAAGACTCCAGCTCATACCTCACTCAGCCCTTATGTGAAGCCACTGGTTTACTTACTTGCTGACCTGCCTCGCCCAGTGGAACACCAGTTTCATGGGGGTGGGGCTCTGCCATCCTGCCCTTCTCCCAAGCACCGTGCCCAGTGCCCAGTGCCCAGTAAGTGCCCAGTCAATATAAGCCTGATGATGCACCCCAGGTCTGCCCTCACCGCCACTCACCTCAGCCGTCTAGGCCACCTCCTAGTGCTCTGCTTGCCCTGCAGAATGGGCAGGAAGGACATGTCCTCTGGCTCGAGGAGCGCAGGGAGGATCCAGTGAAAAAAGCCACATGAAATCGCTCTTAAAGGCACATCACACTGAGAAAACGCATCCTGCAAAATCACTATATGCAATGCCCCTTCCCCTTGCTCCTCTGGCTTCCCTTTGAATATCCAGTGCAGTAAGTGGCTGGCCTGAAATCTGTATTTGGGTTGCCTTGGGTTTCTAGTGGGGTGGGGGCTGTCAGGGTAGGAGGGGGAGGAAGGCGGACAAGTGCTCTCCCAGGCCCCGGGGTCCTGGCTGTGGTTGAGTGGCGTTGATAAAAGACCTTCCCGGCTCCATCCATCGGGGTAGATAGTTTGGAGACAGCTGGGCCCAAACACAAGGAGCCCTCTGGCCTGCCTGGCCCTTTGACATTTCATGGCACCGGCCTCCTGGGCTTGTTGGAAGGGAGACAGACAATGAGGGGAAGTCAGATAGGGAGCGGGGCAGGCAGGGGCCAGGGGAAAGCCACCCATGGAGTTATCACTTAACGGGAATCCCAAACTGGAAGGAAACCTCCACTGATTCCTTATCACTTTACAATGGAGGCTGATGATGAATTGCTTTTTGTCGTCTTGAGGCAGGAGGACAGACAGAGCCTGGCTGGAATGTTGCCTGTCCCTGGGAGCTTTCCTTTGGGGGCAGAGGGAGGTGAGAAGGGCAGAGGTTTCTGGAAAGGTGAAGGGAGCCCTGCAGGGTGTGTCCCATGCACCCCCAGTGCATAGATCACAGTGTGGATGGATTGGGGGCGGGGCCACTTGCCAGCTGGGTGACGCTGGGCAGGTTACTCAACCTCTCTGAGCCTCAGTTTCTGCATCTGTGAAAAGGGTAATTCTTCACCTCCTTATCGCCAGCCCGTCACTGCAGCCTGATTCCACCCACATCTCCCACCCTTCTCCCCACATCCTGGTCTGAGCCACCATCAGCTCACTCCTGAGCCCCTGACCGCCTCTCAACCGAGCTCTGGTACTAATTCTAGCCCTGCCTATCACAGCCGAGTGACACCCCAAACAAACCGAGTCCTGTCACGCTCAGTTTAAACCCCTCCAATGGCTGCCCGCTGGTGTTCGGATAAAAGCTAAAGTCCCTCAAATGGCTCACAAGGGCTGGTTCCTGCCCTCCCCTCACCCAGTTCCAGCCTGTCAGTCACTCCCTGAGGGGGTGGGCCCATCTTTGTGCCTGACGCTCAGTAACACCCTCTTCTCCTATCCAATGACTCAGAGCTAAAATTCTCCCCCGACCCCCCTAGGCTGATACCCCTTCATGTTCATAAGCACTTTGTGTATCTTCTTTATGGCATCCGATCGCCATTTCCCCCAAACAATCATGTAATTATGTCACCATAGTGTCTGATCTGCTGGGACGATGAGCTGCATCAGGGCGGGGCGGTGGCGGCTCACGCTCATTGAGCACTTACTATGTCCGGTCCTGTCTTGGGTGCTTTATGTGGATGATCTCATTCCATCCCCTAACAAGCCCACAGGGTGGGAACTGTTATTATCCCCATTTTGCAGAAAAGGTAGTTGAGGCTCAGAAAGTCAAAGCATCGTGCCCAGGGCCACACAGCAGGAAAGCGTCAGCTATGGCGCTGTCTTGCAATGGACCAGCCACCAACGCCAGCCTCCACCTGAAGTTGACCATGTGTTCACGCGGGGATCCCGCCAAATCCCCCGTGAAAGTCCACGGCTCCCGTGATCGAAAGCGGGTCACCGGCCAGGAATGCACTTATAAGGACGCTGCTATAAATACTGGACCGAAAAAGCGCCTTGATTCTTTTCAACTTCTCCCTCCTCTTCTTTCGTCTGGCCTTAATTTCATAGGCAGAGCTCCCTAATTCAAACCTGCTGAGCTCTTAATCAGCACGCTTGACCCAGTCGCACGAGCAAGTCTGCAGCGGAGGATGCCATTTTGAGGTTGTAGCTGATAAGAGAAGGTAGCACTATGCGCAGTGGTTGGGGCCTAGGCAGAGTCTGCAGACCTGGCGTGGGTTCAAATCCCCCCTTCGAGAACTGCCAGCCTGTGATTTTACCTTTCTGAGCCTCGGTTTCCCCACCTGTAACACTGGTTCATGGAAGCACCCACTTACTAGCGTTGAGGAAAAGGTTGCGGTCTGGAACCTAGGCAGGGCACCCTTAGGTGTAACAGGAAATAGGTGTCCGGGCAGGGACCTGCTCCGTGAGACGCTCCTCACCCTGCTCGCGCCTGAAGATGCAGACATGTTTGCAGGCATCTGGTCTGCAGCCCATCCGGCAGCGGACCTGCTGGGAGTCGGGCCAGGGGCCTGGTGGGGTGATACTGTTCAGGCCTTTGAGATCCAAGGAGCTTGGATGGGTTTCAGGTAAATCCGGAGCCCTCGGCCTCACCCAGGTCAGCTCCCCAGCCCGGGCTTGGACCAAACACAGCTCTTCCCTCCTTCAAAGTGCAAGATGAGTAAATGTCACATCGCCAAACCCGGCGACCCCAATCAGTTTCCTCATGTAACCCCGGCTCCAGAGAAAGCCACCAAAGCATCGTTTCCATTGGTTCTAATTCCTGAGTTGTGTGTTTTTTAAAGGGCCAAACACTGGGCACTGGACCTCCAAAGGCATCGTGCTGGCTGCTGAGGCTAAGGCTAGGGTCTGGGCCTGCCCGAGCGAAACAGTGACTCAACCCTGTGCTATTGAGTCAACCCTGCGCTAACACCAGCTTAATAGCACCCCATTGTCACACCAAGCCTACGAGATAGGTTCAATCATAAGCCCTTATGGTCAGATCTTTTTTTAAAGGAGGCATAGAGGAGCCCTGGCCAGTTTGGCCCATGGTTGGAGCGTCGGCCTGTGGACTGAAGGGTCATGGGTTCGATTCCCAGTTAAGGGCATGTACCTCAGTTGCAGGTTCAAACCCTGGCCCTGGCCCTGGCCCTGGCCCTGGCCCAGGCGGGTGCGGGAGGCAATGAGTCGATGTTTCTCTCTCTCCCCCGCCACCTCTCTTTCACTCTCTCTCTAGATATCAATGAGAAAAATATCCTTGGGTGAGGATTAAAAAAAATAAATAAATGAGGCCTAGAGGAATTAAGTAACAGGCTCCTAATCATGAAAATTTGCACCTGGCAAAGGTAAGATTCCTCCCCAGTTGTCTGATTCTGCAGACCCCGGGCATAAGCACAAGGCTAGATGGCCCCGTCCCTGCGTCTTGTTTTCTCAAGCCTCCGCCTAGGTGAGCGGCCTTCTCTCGTTCCCCCCGGCACACGCTTTCTGGAGGGATACCTGCCACTTACGCGATCACAGCCACCACTTCCTGGGTGCTCACAGGGTCAGGTGCTGCAGGAAACAGCGCCATTTACAAAGCAGGAAACTGGGACACCTGCCTGGGGCCACACAGGAAGCTGGTGGGAGAGGTGAGACTCGAGCCTGCGTTTCCGTGGCCCCATTGCCTGCCCTGTCCTCACCGTCCCGTCTACAGTTCACACCAAGCGATGGTTCCAGTACGCTGAGCTCAACCACACCGCCATGGCACCTGCTTCGGTTCTGGCTCCAACAAAACAGGCCACCCGAAATTCCCTGCCTTAATCTAGTACCTTTGGACTCAAATGGCTGAGGAAAAGTCATCCATTTCTTATTTGGCAAAGGAAATTATGATGTCTCAGACGCCAGCCCAGTAGATTGGAAAAAGGGATGCAAAGAGGAAGAAAAATCAGTTGTGCCTTTCTTTTTTTCCTTTTGTGCTGATTTTGATCTGGAGAGGAAAGGAGAGCTCAGGATCCCCCTGGGAGAAAGCCTGGCGCATGCACTAACGAGACACATCCAATTAGGACCATCCCAGCAGCATGGCCTGTGATGCACCGGGAATGCTGGCAGCAGCCTGCCTGTCCACTCGTGGGAGTGGCCACAGATTCCCAGTTAAGGGCATGTACCTCAGTTGCAGGTTTGAACCCCTGATCTTAAATCACCCTGATCTGAATAGCTTGCTGCTTTGTGCCTTAGAATTTCCTTTTGAGCTGCAGTACTTCTTCTTCATCACTTAAAAAAAATGAGGCAGCTCCAGCTTCAGACAGCCACAGCATACTCTGCAGTTTCCAAAAATGCAACTTGCGAAATACAGTTTGATATCAACTGCTAAACGTAAGCACAAAACTGTTTTCAGTTCTGTGTGTGCGTGTCTGTAAATGAGGAAAATAGGTCTGGACCTTTTGAATACGTGTTCCCCGAGGAAGGGGCTAGAATTAGGGGTGGAAATGTTTTGCTGGTATGGTTTTAATTTCTTACAATCTCTATGTATGTTTGTATTGTTTGCATTTTCTAAAGAAATAAATGTTGTGTCTACTTTTTTTCCCCAACGAAAGGAAAGAAGTAGAGAAAGGCACATCGGGCAGGGGATGCCACACTTACCTTTCCTTTTGGTGCAATGGTATATTTGGCTGTGCTCCTGGGGCAGTGGGTATGGATTAGGTGGGGGCAGAAGGTCCTGGGAGGGTCCTGACACACCATTCTCGCACTGGTACTGGGACCCCAAGTTGGATGAGGTGGAGAGAGCTCGAGGCTCACTGCTGAAAGGGCTGTGGTTGGAGGCCACTTTCTGTCTCACTGTGCTCCTGGGAACCACGGGATATTCTTTACTGAAAGAGAGAAGATGGGAAATAACATCGATCAGTGCTCTGGTACAGATCCCCCCACTGGCTGAACCAGGAGCCATCGAATCCACCAGAAAAATCACAGAATAAGAAACAAAGGGGTCTTTGATGAGCAAAGTGATCCAATTATACTCAAGTACATCATGTGTCTTGAATATACATATTTGGGCACTAACTTTTCATGCCTTATACAGTAGGCAAGTAGGTCTATGAATAGTTCTAATGTATACAGACAGGTAAATGGGTCAGGAATGGTGGCTGATCACTAGGCTAGTCAGGGATGACCCTAAATTACCCTGATCTGAATAGCTTGCTGCTTTGTGCCTTAGAATTTCCTTTTGAGCTGCAGTACTTATCACCACTGACTTAATATTTCACTTCTCCATGCCTTCATTTTCCAATGGATATAATGCAGATCCCCAGTTCAGAGGGGTGTGGAGAGAAGAAATGACTTAATACAGTGAGAAACTGAACAATAATGGGCACATATGAGTGCTCAACAAATGACAACCATCACTGTTATTGTCATTGTTAATAGAATTGGTTTCCTTGGCAATATATGCATTTTATTGTATGCATTTAATCATATTATTCTGAGGAGTAATCCACAGTGGTCACCATGGCAGGGAGGGCCATGGCGCTACACAGGTTCAGAGTCCCTTCCCCAGAAGAAATATGCATTAGTAAACCCCAAAGTCGTCGTGCTTTTTATCATGACCCCGCACCAACTCTTCTTTAACTGAGTGCATTTTTTAAAATTAAGTTTGTATCCAAATAAGTTTAGCCTCACTCTGAGCAATATCCATGAAATTATGGGCTTGCAATGCTAATTATGTTTCCTGTAATGCTGTTAAAAGAAATCTTTTCCTATTGAAATCGAAGAGTACAGCTGAAATCATCCCACGGAAGAAAACACCACACCTAACACATTTCTGAAGGATGCTTCATTAACCCATTTTATCCTCTCCATGACCGTAGGAAGTGGGTGCTGTTCTTGTCCCCGTTTTACAGATTAGGAAACTGAGGCCCGGAGAGAGTAAGCAACTTGCCCATGGTCACAGAGCTATAAAGAGAGCACCCGACACCTAATCCAACAGTCCCCTTAATGATTTCTAGACAATCTCCTAATTACTCCTGTCAATATTTAAAACACAATGTGCTTTTAGGGGGGCAGGGGTGTGGAGTTCACCACTCCCACCCCCAGGGGTGTAACAGCCCCACTCTGGGCCCCTGCCTTTGTTTGTCATGTGAAAGCACGTCAGAGTGGCCAGGCAGGGACATAAAGTGTCTGCCAAGTTTCCATGAGGCTCCAGACACCCTCAGGACACCCAGGGGTCTCCTCGCCCAGTTTTCCCGTGGCATGTGCCATCTCAAAACCAAAGCTGGAGCCATCCTGCACAGCCACACCACTCAGAATCTCTCCCTGGGGCCCACAGGCTGAAAGGAATGAAATTAGCTTTATAGTTCTCGCTTTGCGGCTCCAGCTACGTCATGGAAAATGAAGACGAAGAATTGTAATAATAATAAAACATAAAAGCTGTCAGATCTTGCTGGCAATTCCGTTTGGGTCTGCTTAGTAGAAGGGCTGGGCTGTCGGAGCTCCCCGAGAGGAGGGGAATCTCTCTTAGTTTTATATTCTTAATGGAGATGGCTTTTTCTTAGTTAAAGAAACTAACCCCCAAAAATGTTGGCGGAGGGAGTTTACAAGAGAAGGCATCAATGGGCTCCGAGGAATTCTACATTCTGGCATTGCCAAATTGCAAAATTACTGTCTGGGAAGGGCAAATCCTGCCTTTGATTACTACCATGCACAGAAATGGGAAAGCCATTTTACCCCAGTAACCTCTTGTCCCTCACAGATTCCTTCTCGCCAAGGAGCTTGAGACGTCATCCCCACCATCCATCACTCACATCTCTCGGTGCCTGAAACACAAGGGCTGCAAGCCCATCTGACAGGTGTCAAAACAGAGGCACGGCAAGGTGAAGTGACATCTCCATCGGCTCATGCCGATAGAGGCGAAGGGACGAAATGCTACCACCAACAGCATGCGGGCAGTTTCCACTGGGCTCCTCAATGGACCCATCAAAGGAACATGATGAGTACCAACCAGTGAAATCTCTAAAGTGCTTGTGATGAAGAGAGAAATTACATTCCTCCACAGCTTGAGAGCATCATTAAAGAATCCAGGGCACAGAGGATTCAAGTGAAAGTTGAAAAGCCTTGCGTTTCTGGAAAGGAGGGCAGCAACAGAGGGCTGGTGTTTCATCGCCATACCATCATCATCACCATCACCGTTATCATCACCATCACATCACCATCACCATCACATCACCATCATCATCACCATCACCATTATCATCATCACCATCACCATTATCATCACCACCATCACATCACCATCACCACTACCACCATCACCACCACCATCACCATCATCACCACTACCACCATCATCATCGTCACCATCCTCCTCCTCATCTTCCTCCTCCTCGTCCATGTTGTTCTGTGTCTTCTAATATCCCAGCCACTGTACTGGTTGACTTATATACTTTCCCTCATTTGATCCTGGCAAGAACTCCATTTCATCAGTATTAGATTTACTTTAGAGCAAGCATGTCAAACTCACGACCCATGGGCTACATGCGGCCCACAACAAATATTTTTGTGGCCCAACCAATATAATGGTATGTAAGAAACATTTTAATAATTTTGTAACTTAATTTTTACAATATCCTGTTATACATAATTATTAATAACGAACTACAGCATTCACTAATGACTGATTATATAATCATGTTGCATTCATTTCCCTTACACGCCTTATGCGCAGGCGCACCATTTCTCTCCACTAATACTAGCAGAGAATATTTTAGCAGCTGATGGCCACGTCATTAGTCTTGGACTGACTTGTTTGGTGTGCACAATAGGAAATATTTCACTTTCGGAGAACAAGAAAAATAGGTTTATCTGCATTATGCTTATTAATTTGTGCAGTTACTCAATGTCTGGTAAGTTAATGTTCAAGAAAAAATTAATTTTTATCAAAATGTTCTATTTTATGTTAACGACTCATTTATTTCAGCCCTTTGTATTCAGCATGTCTCTATCGAAATAAACCTGTTTCTATGAAAATTGAAGCTTTTGCTTTTTTTGCGGCCCACATCAACTTAAACCTTGTGTATTTTGTCTGTGTTAGCCTTTGAGTTTGACATGCTTGCTTTAGAGGTAAAGAAATGAAGTTGCAGAGATGTTAAGCAACTTGCCCCAGATCACACAGCTAAGAAGAGGTAAAGCTGCGCTCCAGCCCGGGTCAGCTATTCCAAAGATCTTGCCAACGAACACTTGGTAATAGGATATTGCTGCCTTCACACCGACTGCATGGGCAACACAACCGTCCTGTGATAACAGCTTCCTGGTGATAACATAACAGAGTTGGGTATTGGCTACCCCCGGGCAATACCAAGTTCTGCCGGCCAATCTGCTGATCCTGCTGTTTGAGGAACTTAGTTTGCCATCAAATCCCACCGCTCTCGCTGGATCAACAGCTGTGCCTACATCCTGCCAGCTCGCTCTGCTGAACCTGGGCTCCCAGGACACCCGCCGAGAGTCCTGAGCACCTCGTTTCACTCTGGGTGTCGGAGCCCGCAGACCAGCCTCTCCCGGGCCCTCACATTCTGTTCCACGTGAGTGAGTGCAATGAATGACGCCATTGTTGCCAGGTCTGGGTTGTAAAACGTTACAAGGGAATATTGAGATCCAGGGCCAAACTGCACCCACAGCGTGCCGCCAGCTAACGAACGCCCCTGAGAACCTTTTTCCACCGCGGCGTCTGAATTGGCCCTTTCACTGGAGCAGGTGGCCGCTGCTGGCGAGCGCGGAGCTGGTGTTGTTGTTGTGCCCTCCGCTGCTTACTCAGTGTCTGGCAGCCTTTCTCAAACAAGCAGGGCAGCGGGCAAGGCCAGGGACTGTGGCATTCCTGTTCTGGGGTGGCGGGGCGGGGGGGCGGATTCCTCGGGCCAGCACTGGGTCTGCGATTAAAACTCACGAAGGGCCCACAAGCCCGCCACAGCTGTTGCGATGATTGACTCTCTACTGTGCTTGGGGAAGTTATTCTGATGTCATGTGTGGACATGCGAGGAATGGGGTGCTTCACCCAGGTGGGACTTTGCTCAGTGCAATAATAATCACGCTCTCCTTCCCATCTACGTTTGTTCTATTACTTGGTTCACACCACACTAGGTTTGGGATTCAGTCCCCAGTTGGGGTGCATACCAGAGGCAATGGATCAATGTTTCTCTCTCACATCAATGTTTCTCTCTCTCTCTCTCTCTCTCTCTCTCTCTCTCTCTCTCTCTCTCTCTCTCTCTCTCACCCCCTCTCTCTTTTCCTTCCTCTCTCTAAAATAAAACAAAACAAAACATATCCTTAGCCAAGGAAGAAAAATAAAGAAAAGCTTGGCATACATTTGGGACCCTTTTAACGAACTGAAGCATGTCTTTGCTTTAGTGGGTTGGTGGGAAGGTGAAGAGACGTGGTCAAAGGCCAAGCCTTGTCCTTCTGGGAGCCGGGAGGCCGGAGAGGCCAAGTCCAGCTGAGCTCAACCAGACAGCTTCCTGGGCTCAACAGGACTGTGCCGAGGCCTCCTTTGTTCTGATGGGAATCAGGTGGGGCCCCCTGGTCATGCAGAAGTCAGTCAAGGACCGTTTGCTGACCTTCAGTGCAAATGGGACCGTTGCAAAGTTACCCCAAAGCAACAGCCCTGGTAGGAATGCTAGCTGTTCCGTGGGCTGGTCTAAAAGCCTGCCTGTCCTCGGGGGGTGTGGGGAGAACACTTACAGGGGAATGGTCTCTAAGGAAATCATTTCTAACGAAACATTAATTACTGGGATGGAGTCGTTGAGAAACAGGGCTCAGGGCTTAGAGTGGGGAGGGGCCGAGATGGGGAAATCTCTCTAGGGGAGTGGGCTTCAAACTTGACTGCATA